AGGACCAAGTCTGGAAATACTGTCGGCTTTATTCTCATCATATCTCCAGAGATCTAGGTCAAAATGAATGGGCTGAGAGTTTGGGAGCTCTTTTATGAATCAAGCATTTCATGCAAGGCCTTTAAGACACTTATTTTAGTTTTCTTGAGGTATTTACTTCTTGGTTCTGAGAGACAGTACAATAGACTTGTTTTAAAATTAGAAGACAGGTTCTGAGTTCACTCTTCCTGAGCCATGAGATTATGGACAAAGTTATTTCCTCTCCAAGTCTCACATCAGCATCTGTTAAAGAATGGGGCTACTCCTGCCCACCATGAGGCTGTCCTGAGCATTAGAACACAGGTAAGCTCTGGCGTAGAAGTGCTGGATAGATGTGGTCCCTTCTTCCACATTTTGTTGCTGGTGAGTTTCCGAATCCATACAAGGGAGGGACCCCCAAAACTGTTCTCAAGCTCCTGCCATACAATCAACAACTTGTCCTACCACCTCACCCACGTAACTTGTAAAACACCTAGACAGACATTATTTCCTGAGGAACACACCATTTCAGCATCAAGGAATGGTATAAAATCTTAGAAAGCACTAAAATGTAAAACATGACAGGAATACACATATATGAACAAACTATGTAGCTGACCTTTTCTAAAATGTTCATGAGTTTGGTCTGCTGGCACAATGGATAGGAAATAATCATCACAGTCTCTGATGACTTGGGCAATTCCAAGATGTCTATTGCCATAACCCTTCTACGTTTTCCCAAAGGAATACCTGACATGGTATAGCTACCTGAGAAATCTGCCAAGAAAAAAAAAAAGGCTGGGACACAAAGAATCTCCCAGGAATTCTAAGTAACTTAAAGAACCTGGAATGTACTTGGCTATTCCTCCCTTGGATGGGAAGTTTGTCTGACCGGGCCAAGGACTTATCTATGGATTTATTTAGAGGGTTACCATCCAGAGGAGGCGGTAGCACTATTGATATCTATTTGATTCTTTAGTCACCCAACTAACATTTAAGGAAGTCATTAAAACAATTTTTATTGAGTTTATCAAAGAAGTGCACTCATAACGAGTTTAATAAATTTTATAGCTTAGCTTGTACAGATCTCATTATGTAATGATATTTACTGCTTTAGAAATCATAATCTTTAAACCTCTTTGTTCCTTGGTATATAACTATGGTTCTACCTCTTTATTCAACAGTTATGATTAGAGTACATATATAAAGCTTTAGGAATAATCCTTTGAAGGGCTAATTTATTAGGAGTCCAGCTTGAAAAATCAGATCTCAGTCATTTCTTAGCAAATATGTTCACTGAAAGGATAAAAAGATTTTGGCTTTATATAGCCTCTAATTAGGTCTTTTCTTCTCATTACATATTGCCTGAATAACAGAGAATAGTGAGAATTGCTGATATTTCCTGACAGAGAATAGTGATAACTGCTGATATTTCCTGAGCCCTTATAATGCGAAAGGGACAACAATCCTGTGGGAAAATTATTTCTATTATCTCCATTCAGATGAGAAAATGGGGTCCTAATGAATATAGGGCAGAGCCAGTTTTAAATCATGATCTGACTAATGCTTGTCCTCCTAACACTACATTATCCCAGTGAGGTCATCAATAGCAGTTGCTAACTCAAAGGACTGCTTTGCTCCTTTGTTGCTGAGGCCACATCAGCGAGCTGCTACTGCCAAGCAGAGGGATCCAAACTAGAGGAAACAAACTAGAATTTGACAGCACTGCATTTTGGAACATGAACTCCAGTTTGTGGCTGTTAAGGTGAACATGCTGTTCCATGAGATAAATAAGCAGAAACATTCACAATATAAATAGGGGTGAAGGTGGTTGGGAGCACCCCTATTTCTGGTACCCCAGGTCCACCTCTAGGGATACCACTGTAAACACTGGCAGGCTACTAGAGACATTGTTAACTGTCCAAAGAGTGACCGTGCATTCCTAATGACTATGTAATAAAAAGAAATGTGCCCAAACGTAAAGAAGGCAAGGGTCAGAAATGGAAATACACAGAGAACATTATGTGCATTCTTGCAGGTGGCAGAAACTAGTTTTCACACATACAGGAGAAACATTTCCAGGTCCTTTCCTTGTAAGATCTGATGCATTTCTAACTCCAAACAGACAGATGTGTTTTCTGGACAGTGTCAGAAATCACTAGGACAAAGCTCCTTGGATGTTGACTTGCTGCCTGAACTTTGAGGCCTTGTGATTTACAGCTTGCAAGTGGTGTTTGACAAGATGAGAGTACACTTGAGAAGGGTGTCCTGGCTTTTTACAGACTGTCCTTGTGTTTCTGTTATGTGGCATATATTCAGTGACCTGTCCTATGTGAAACACTGAAATGCCCAATAACTCAAGACAGTGATCAAGAACTACTGGTGGTTACCTGTAACCCATACCATAACTGTCAGTTTTTAAACTATTCTGTTATGGTTCACCTAAAACTGAAGTATCCTTTTCAGTTTAGCTTCCTCTTATACTTTTTGCACACTACTGGTGTAGTAGTTTTCCCCTCTCTAACCAAATCCTGGGCTCTTTGAGGTCAGGAACCATGCCATAGAATTGTAACATCATATGTGAGAGTAGCTGGCACAAAGCTGGCACTAAGATGAGAAAATGGGGTCCTAATTAATGTAGGGCAGAGCCAGGTTTTAAATCATGATCTGACCAAAGCCTGTCCTCGTAATGCTACATAATTCCAGTAAGGTCATCAAAGGCAGTTGTTTGTTCAAAGGACTACTTCAGGACCTCATTTTTCATCTATTTGTAGATGAAAATCAAATCAACAAATATCACAGTAATTTCTTAGAACCTCCATCAGAATCACCTGGAAAGTCTGGTGAACCTGAAAAAAGGATATCCAAGAGAGAGGCCCAGGAATGTACATTTTAAACAAGCCCCTCAGGAGACTCAGGAACTTGGAACTAGAGAGATCTTACATGCAAATAAACACTCATATAAATAAACATGTTTCAGACAAGATATGGGAGAGGTGTGAACAAAATAAAGTTTAAAACTTCTTTCCAATACCCCAAATCATCTTTCTGGGGCAGAATTCTGATCAAGCCCTTCCTTTGCTCAAAACCTTCCTATGGGAAATTAAAACCCATAGTTATAAGCTTGTTGAGAATCTTTATGGCCTGCTAGCAATCAAAACAACTTTTTAAACAGGAGCCTAATCTGGAGCAGGAATGACTGAGTTCAAATCCCAGCTATACCAATTACTAGTTATGTGACCCCAGGCATATCATTTCACCACTCTGCCTCAATTTCCTCATCTGTAAAATGGGGATACTAATTGTATCTTCGTGAAAGGGTTGATAGGATTAAATAAATGAATATACACACAGCACTCAGAATAGTGCCTGGCACATAGAATGAGCAAAAATGTTAGCTATTATTATCATTGTGATTATCCCCTACTACTCATCTACTCAGACACTACACTCTAGTTGTCATCTATTAATTCCTGTTGCTTGGGCATTTCCCCATACTACACTGTTTCCTCTGCTGTAACACACAATTTCTAGGTCAAAAGTGTCCAAGTGATAAGATCCAAACAAACTTTCACTTTAGTCTTCAATAACTCCCCCCACGTATTAATCTTTCCTGCCTTTGTGCATTAGTGTAATCTTTATCTGTGCATATTTCATCATCTCTTAAACTACAATTTCCCTGGAGAGGCTCGTGTTGAAACAGTATGCTCTTAAGAATGAGAGAGACCTGGGTTCCAAACCAGGTCATATTGATCCTCCCAGAGCCTCATATTTCCAATTTATGAGTTCAGGATAATAATATTTACTTTGGAGGAGGTTTAAATAACCTACCTACAGATACTAAAAAAGATTCTACTGTATGGTTGATTGGATTATTAACAGAATTATTAATAGTTGCATTTACTGAGTGCCAGCTATGTAAGCAGTGCCAGGGCCAAGCACCCAAGCTTAAAAAAAAAGTGCCCTGGAGGAGCAGTTTTTCCATCAAGTTTATGGAGACAGGCAGGGGAACGCAGAGTACATCACACACCCAGGCCGGCGGTTTACAAAACAGCCCGGACGAGAACAAACCAGACACCCAACCTACACGTGCACTCTGCGCCGGCTCTGGGGTGTGCCCAGAGAAAGAGCATAAACTTCTTTCCTATTGGCCTTTCAGAGCGTGACATAAAGACCACCGAAGGACCGACCAATGGGCTTCAGCGGGGAGGTCCCAACGGCGACAGTTAAGGGCATGACAGTGTCTGGGCTCTCACTTTTTCTTCTACACCAAGTTGGGGGCCTGTCGCTGCGGGAACTGACCGGGCCGCCTCCTGTGCGGCTAAAGATCTCCAGTTAGACACAGCCTCTCATTTATCTTTTTTTTTTTTTTTTAGAGAAAACTTCCTTTTGCATAAGCTCAGATTTCTGACTGATGAGCTCGGAATCACAAGAGCAAAGTTCTGTCTTACCCCCAGTGACTCTGGGGTTGGTTTTTCACTTTCCCCTTCCTGCACCTCCGTTACCCTACTTTCAAACGGGAGCCATCGTTCTGCCTCGGGGTGGAACAAGTGCCTAGCCAATTAGACCTGAAGCCCAGTCTGGTGTCTTCAGGAGCCTCATCAACCCTGAAGCGCTGGCGCGGGCTGCGGCAGGCATTCCTGGGGAGCGGGTGTCCCTTCGTCTATCTCCAAGGTGTGTGAAAGGGATGCCTCCTCAAGCCCGCCCGGGGAAGATCCTGGAGCCACGGGCTCCGACCCAGACCTCCAAGGGACCCAGACGAGGCCCAGCGACCAGCCGTGCTGACGTGGGGCTCCAGGGAAGGGATGGGGAAGCTGGCCAAGCGGGGGTCGGTTCCCCGCAGCCAGGACTGGGGCTACTCAGGTACCCGGCCTGGGTGAGGAAAGCCCCGCGGACCTCCTCCGACTCATCCCCTACCCCATCCCGCCCCGAAATCGAGCCTCGGTTTCCCCCTTGTTATCCCTTGCTACCGCGCACCTTACCTCCCCGCTAGCTCCGACCGCCTACCTCCAGCACCCTTGCGGAAGCAGGGGAGGAGGTGGCACTTCACTTCCGGAAGTAGCCTTGAGCTAATTGCGGAGCGTGATGCTCCCGGCAAGCAACCATAGAGGAGAGACCATACTCGCTTCCTAACCCCTCAACCCCGCGACCTCCCTCCTGCCTAGAGCGGCCACTCCCAGGCCAAGGACTTCGACGCATGCGTACCACCGCCGTCCCCGCTCCTTCCCCTTCGTGAACTGACTGGAGCCCTAAAGTTAAACCCCGAGGGCGAGGCGGGCGATTGCAATTACTCTGGGGTTCTTGTGTCTCGGTCTGGAGGAAATTACCCAGAAACTGAAATAATATTACAGGCCGTACTGTACTCTCCACAGGTTCTTTTTTTTTGCCTTCATATTGTATGCACAAAATCACAGGACCATGGCTAAAGTTCCATTTGCAGTGTTAAGAAGAATTGGGAGTTAAAATTACTTTATCACCATTTTTTCCCCAACTTGGGCCAGTAAGAATTCATGCATATTATGTTTTATATCGCTGACCTGGAGATGAAACTGATCACGTTGGATGACTTTTTTTCCCTATCAAATTGGTAGTGTTCTGTGCTATAGGAGGGAGTGTGTGAACTCATTTTCTGGAGGATAAGTGGCAATATGTGTCAGCATTTTTTTGTGAGTGTTATACACAACATAATATTTAACCATTTCAACCATTTTTGAGTGTGTAGTTCAGTGGTATTAAGTACATTCACACTGTGGTCCAAACATCACTACCAGCCATCCCCAGGACTTTCTCATCTTCCCAAACTGAAATTACATGCCAATTTAATAACTTTCCGTGGCTCCTTGCCTTCAGCCTCTGTAACCATATTCTGCTTTCCAATTCTATGGATCTGACTACTCTAGGAATCATTACTGTGTTGGTTTTTTTTGTGACGATTATTTCACTTAGCATAATATCCTCACTTGTAGCATGTGTCAGAATTTCCTTCCTTTTAAAAGATGAATAATACTCCATTGTATGTATGTACCACTTTTTGTTTACCCATTCTTCTGTTAATGGACACTTGGTACCACTGTTTGGCTGTTGTGAATATGCTGCTATGAACATGGATGTGCAAATAGCTATTCAAGCCCATTTTCAATTCTTTTGGGTATATGTCCAGAAGTGGAATTACTGCATTGTATAATTTTTATTTTTATATTTTAAGAACAACTATACTGTTTTCCACAGTGGCCATACTATTTTATATTCCTGCCAGCATGCACAAGTGTTCAGGTTTCTCACTGAATGGTGTGAAAGGGTAACTCATTGTGGTTTTGATTTGTATTGGGGATGGTGAGCATCATCTCATTGGCCATATATATATATCTTCTTTGGAGATTGGCCATTTGTATATCTTCTTTGGAGAAATGTTTGTTCAAGTCCTTTGTTCATTTTTTAACTGGATTGTTTTTTGTTGTTGAGATGTAGGAGTTCTTTATGTATTATGGATATTAACTTCTTATCAGATGTATGATTTGCAAATGTTGTTTTCCATGGGTTGCCTTTTCACTTTGTTGATAATGTCCTTTAATACACAATGGTTTTAAATTTTGATATAGTCTAATTCATCTATTTTTTTTCTCTTGTTTGTGCTTTTGGTGTCTATCCAGAAGAATCATTGCCAAACCCACTGTTATGAAGTTCTGCCTTATGTTTTCTTGTAATGTTTTATAATTTTAGTTCTTACATTTAGGTGTTTGATCTATCTTGTGATAGTTAATTTTAATAAAGTTATTTCTTATATAATGCAAGGGTCCAACTTCATTCTTTTGCATATGGATATTTAGTTTTCCCAGCACTATTATTGAAAAGACTATTCTTTTGAATGACCTGGCACCTTTGTTGCAATTCATCTGACGATATAGAAGAGGGTTTCTTTGGTCTTCATGTTTTTCTTTATGGCAACACACTGTTTTGATTACTGTAGCTCTGAAGTAAGCTTTGATATTTATTTAAATTATTTAAATTTTATTTCAATATAATTACTTATATACAAATTATTTATTTAAATGACTTAAAATTAAATTTAAGTGGCCGTTATATAGCCAGTACTTTATGTATTGACTTTTTAAGCTGAAACAAGACAGCAGAGAGACACTTAAAGCTTGAGGTTTGGCTACTTGTCATAGTGGTTTTTCCCCTTCCCATTGCATCTGAACTCTAAAATTCACTCTCTGTTGCTCGCACTAGTAATAGTGGGCATAATTACCTAAATATAAATTTCCATTTAATGAGGCAAGGAAAATGAACTTGTTGAGGGACCTGGTGGGGAAAATATGGCCTGACTTAAAACTTGCCTTTGGGTGAAAAATGACTATCTTCTTTTAAAAAAATATCAGTGGTTTGTATTCAGTATTTCTTTCAAAACTAAGAGGTGTGAATGTAGGGAAGTGTGACAGTAAGTCAGACGTTAATCATGTCTTACATGTATTTATACAGCACTTTACAATTCACATACATTATCACCACTTATCCTCAACCCTATTTAGTGGGTGAAGAAATTGGGATTTAGGAAGGTTGAATACATCCCCTACATAATAAATGGCTGAGCTAGCCTTTGAAAGCAGGTCTTCCAACCAACTTCATAGACGGCTTTTGTGAATGACCGGTGTCAATTCACTCAGCCCATGGTTCCAGAGTACCTACCACGTGTGAGCACTGTTGTAGGCTCTGGGGATCTACGGTAAACCCAAACTAATATCAAAGTCGATTAGGTAAGATCTCATCTGTTTCTGTTTGCCATTCCCAGTAGCTAGCATAGTAGACAAGTCTCAGCTTTGCTTTCCCCATCGCCTAAATAACTCTCCCGCCCATTATTCTTACAGCAGCGTCCTGCTCTTTGTCTCCTTGCGATTACTGTGTTTCCAACTGGCAAGCTTGATTCCTGCCTGACTTTACCCTCTTCCCCCAGGTTAAGCTCCAATGAGGCAGGGACCTTGTCTTTTCTGATCATCATTGCATTTCTATCCCTTTCAGAGTGCCTGGTGGCATCACAGGAACCAGGAAACATGCCCCCACGTCCCTATCTCAAAAGTTACACAATACATCTGGGACTCCAATCGCAAGTAGCTTCCAGCTCCTGTAAAGATGGTTAAGAGCCCAGCCTTAGCCCCGCCCCCGCCGGTGGCGCAGGCGCATGTGACCCGCACCCGAGCGCGCTGTTTCCGGAAGTTGCTGCCTCGGTCTCCGCAGCTACTGTTTCATCTGCCGCCGGGGTCGCCGCGGAACTGCGAGTAGAACGGCTGAGGCGTGCTCGGAAGGTGCCGGCGTTCCGGCCACTCTGCAGAATGGAGATAATCAGGAGCAGTGCGTGTCCGCTGTGCACCTCCCCTCGTCCCTAGGCGCCCCCTTACTCCGGCCTGCTAGGCCCATACCACCGCCGGTCGGCTTGGCGGGGCCTGGGTTAGGAGTTTGCCTCCTCCCCCCAATTTAAGCCTGTGAACCTCTTGAGGTCTTGTCTCTCTCTGCCCCGTGCAACCCTAGGAGCCTTGTCCTTCTGCTTGGGCACCCCCCAGGGCCTTGTTGCTGTCTGGCCCCTGCATCCTCGGAGTCTGGCCCCTCCGGCCCACGCACCCCTCTGGGACTGAGGCTCTCCGTTCCGTGCATCCCTCCAGGACTTGTCTCCCCTCCCGAGGCCTCAGGATCACCTAGGCCCTTCTTCCCTCACCCCAGGAGTTCGTGGGCAGAAAGCCAGGCCAGCGGTTCTGAGCCTCTTCTCGGTTTCTCCGCAGATTTTAAGGCTAATCTTCACAAAGTGTACCAGGCCATAGAGGAGGCCGACTTCTTCGCCATCGATGGGGAGTTTTCAGGTATCCTTGCTTGCAAGCTGGAGAGTAGTACCTTGAAGGGCGCAGCCAAGGCCCCTCCTGCCCCCCTGCCCCCCTGGCCCTGACTTCTACCTGCTGACGGGTGGGTTTGTGATTGTTGGAGTTCTGAGAGTTGCAGTTAGAGGTTGTGGTGCTGCTTGTAACAGTTTAACATGCACGTGGCAGACAGCTCGAGGGTTAGGGTCAGGCTTTTTTGCGTGTGTGGTAAAATACACATAATGTAAATTTTACCATTTTAGCCACTTTTAAGTTCAGCAGCATTAGAACATTCACATTGTTGTGCATCCATCTCCAAAACTTTGCATCTTCCCAAACCGAAACTACATAGCAATTGAACAGTGCCTCCCCATTCTTCCCTCCTCCCTGCCTCTTGTATCCATTATTTCTCTCTAGGCATGAATTTGATCTCTAGGCATTTCCTATAAGTGGAATTACACAGTATTTTTCCTTTGTGATTGGTTTTAGGGTCAGCCTTATGCAAGTAAATGAGGATATTTATTTATGCATTAGTGGAAGTGTGCATTGCCTCCCTTGGCATGGGTGTTATGTGTGTGTAATACTTTACCAATACGTTTGAGTCTCAGTTTTTTTTTTTCTTCCTTTGGATGAATGGATGAAAGATGAAATTGTTGAAGTCACTCTGAACAACTGGCTCCTTTTGGTGTAGATAGCCACTTTTGCTACCTAATTTTACACATTTAAAAAACTTCAGCCCTTTCTAAAGGAATCCATCCTGAGGACATACTAACCTTGGCTTTAATCATGAAGTTTCTATTTCTAGTTGGAGTTAGTTCCCTGGGAAGCTGAGTTTTCACCAGAAATAATTTTCTCTTGACCTTTCAAAATACCTTTGTTATATAGGGGTTATTCCCAGCTGTTGACCAACCCTGGTACTCCAACAAAATGTCTTCTGGATTTGTTGATGTCTGTTTATCCATTAATCCTTTTGAAAGCAGCAAAACATATTCATTGTAGAGATTGTTTTCTTAAATTATTACTGTGATTTGAAATCTAGTTTAGATCCTGGAACTGCCCTTTCTTAAATTGAAACAGTCACATCTCTAAAGTAGACTAGCTTGGTGGCCTGTGAAATTAACGCTTATTTGGGAAAAATGAAGTAAGGAGCACTTCCAATTAATTCATAAAAATGTGAAATTAATAGAGCCATTGAATTGACATTTTCACATTAGCATTAAAACTTTTTTTTCTTAAAATGTAGGGATCAGTGATGGACCTTCAGTCACTGCATTGACAAATGGTTTTGACACTCCAGAAGAAAGGTATCAGAAGCTTAAAAAGGCAAGTGGGTGTGCTAGAAATAATTTTTTTTCCCCCATGCTGCTCTTTCTTATGTTGAATTGTAAATATAATTTAACCATTAAACTTGCACATCAACTTCTCTATCCCAGCTGTGAAATGATATGTCACTGATACTTAAAACAACAGCAAAAATAACTGTTTGTTGGAAAACATTTTGGGGAAGGTTTAGTGTTTTCATTGGTAATTTGATTAGAGGAAATACAATATGGTGATTTTAGTCATTTGGAAATAGGCCTAATATGATGCTCTGGCTGGTGGATAGGTGCTGAATTGGGGAAAATATTTAAAAATGTATATAAATAAAAATGCTTCCAATACATAATCAGTAATTTGTTCTAATTGGAAGGATTCTACTGGAAGTCAAGTTGAGTGATCAGAAAGCCCACCTAACTGAGAATGCTGTTGCTCACGTTGACTATGTAGCCCTGATTTGACAGGTGTTTTATTTCCCTTTTCCAGCATTCCATGGACTTTTTGCTGTTTCAGTTTGGCCTTTGCACTTTTAAATATGACTACACAGATGCAAAGTAGGTTGTTTTAACACGTGGTGGGAACTCTCTTTGCATGGCATGATGTAACCCTCTAATTCTCCTTTTATCTCATTTTCCCCAGGTATGTAACAAAGTCATTTAACTTCTATGTTTTCCCAAAACCCTTCAATAGATCCTCACCAGATGTCAAGTTCGTTTGTCAGGTTAGTAGCATAATGTTTTTTTTTTTCTTAGGACTTGCTGATGATGCAGTGTGGAAATGTGAAATACTATTTCTCCTTAAAATTTGGTTCTACCACTCTGGGCTTTGGGTAAATTGCTTCACCTCTCTGACCTTCAGTTTTAGGGTTGTAAATTAATGGCACTTCTGTGTCCCCTTTACTTCAGAATGAATTAAGAAATAAGATGGGAGAGACAGATGGAAATCAGAACATGAGCTTTATTATTACTAAAGCTGAATTTGAGAACAATGTGGCTCTTTTGGGGATTTTTTTTCTTTTTTTTTTGTTATTAATCTACAATTACATGAAGAACATTATGTTTACTAGGCTCTCCCCTTCACCAAGTCCCCCCCACAAACTCTTGGGGATTTTTAATATCTTACTCCTGATTTGAACCCCCAGATCAGGACTCACAGGGGAAGAGGCTTCTTCCCCTCCCATTCCCCATGTACCCATCTACAAAGGTAGAGCTTTATGTTCTGGAAGAGCAGATTATGTGTGTATCCTGTCCAAAAGTAGAGGACCCAGAAAGGGCTAATCTATATATATTCAGTTCCTTTCCCCAAACTCACCAATTAGGAAAGAGAGGGTAGAAAAAAAGACCACTATCTCTTCCTGAGGAGGAGGGGGCTAACTTTATGAGCCAAGGTGAGAATACAGGGGGCTTCCTCCTTAGAATTTCTCCTTTAAAGGTGTTGCAGCTCACCTGTTAGACACAGAAAATATCAGCATTCCCTTTCTGCCCTCTTTAGTAATCCGTTATAAGGGATAAGCAGAATGTGAGTAAGTGGTGTAGTGAATGGGTGTGTGATTGAAGATGAGTGTTAGTCTTTTCTCCATTATAATCTTGTGCCCTCGCCTCCTCTCTCCTAGTAGCAACATTAGTTCATTTGCATCTTGCCACCTTTCCCTTCTCCTGCCCATAAGTAGTAATACAGTTAACAAAAGCATGGAGTAGGCTTCTGAGTGATGGAGTCATGTCATATTCTTTCTGTAATAAGGCAGGATATTAACAAGTGAAACTGAGTTAATCATATGCCTGGGGCTGGAGAGAAAAGGTGAAGCTAATTCTGGCCTTGTATCCTGTTTACTTAAATTACCAAATAAACCATCATTGATATTTCCTTTACCTTCTAGTCAGTTAAGTGCTATTTACCAATCACCTTAGTTTAGAGTACTTAAACAGTATTTGTAGATTTTTGCCAAGACAAATAGGCCCAAAATAGCTTGGAAGTTTGTGTGGATATAATTTTCTAGCAGTCCTGGAGAAGACAGTTGCTTAAAGTGGGTTAATCAAGCAAAAGCAGGGGTTAATCAAGCAAAAGCAAACACTGGCGATGAGACACTTGAGGGAAGATGCTCTGTCCTAGAAGAACAGCACAAGTATGGTTATTCTAGGAGCTGTGTTGGAAACAGATCAGAGCTCTACCCATTCTACAAAGTCATTTTGCGGCTATACTTGGAAGATCTCATGCAGTTCTAGTTGCCAGCCATGCCTTAAAAAAAGAGAAAAGGTAATAGACTTGAAGACAAGCCAGAAACTAATGTCTAAAATAGACAATGAGATCAAAATGGTCTGATTTTCTGATCTGGAAAAGCAAAGGCAGAGAAAAAGTTTAGACTCAGTATAGTATGCAAAACTTGTGAATTGTGTGGATAAGGTAATGATAATATCTTTCTATTTTCTTTCTTTTGTCCTCTGTGTAAGGTGGCTTTTGTTTTGTTTAAAAATTCTGTGACTGCAGCAGAGTTGCTTCTTGCAAGGGAGTTTGCTTCTAGAATCAGTGAGTAGAGTGAAAATTGTGTCAAGTCAAAAATCACTCTTGAAAAGCTCTTGTCACCCTTAAAGCAGACAGGGTTTGAGGGTAAAACAACCTAATAGGAACTTTGAAAAGTAAGCATCTATACACCCAGTGAGGCACTCATAATGTTAGGCAGACCAAGAACCACACACAATCCCAGGGAATGTGCCCATCTAGTAGAATGGCAGGCAAAATAACATGGCGTTTACGTTGTTTTGGTCTCCTTCTCTTTTCCTTCCTTTTTCTGGCTGAACATCTGTAGTTGAATTCATGGAAGATAATGCATACATGTTTCTGAAAAGTCAAAACATTGCTGCTGTCTATAAAGTTAAAAATGAGTTTCTTTTTATACACTCTCTCCCCCCCTGCCTTTTCCTTCCCCATTTAACTCCTTTTTTCTAACTTTTATATACATGTATATATATGCAGATCTTCCTCAATTTGTAATGGTGTTAAGTCCCAGTAAAACCATCTCAAGATGAAAATGCATTTAATCCACCTGACCTACCAACATCATAGCTTAGCCTACCCTACCTTAAAGGTGCTTAGAACACTTAACACTAGCCTACGGTTGGGCAAAATCACATAACACAAAGCCCGTTTTGTACTAAAGAGTTGAATATTCATCTCAGGTTATTTATTGAATGCTGTCCTAGAGTGGTTGTAAATGTATCCGTTGTTGACCCTCTCCATCGCATGGCTGTCTGGAAGTTGTGGCTCACTGCCACTGCCCAGCATCACGAGAGACTGTGTACCATGTATCACTAGCCTGGGAAACGAGCACAATTCAAAATTTGGAGGAAAGTTTCTACTGAATGGGTATTGCCTTTGCACCATTGTAAAGCTGAAAAAATCTTAAGTCCCCATCAAGAAGGTGGGGACCACTTGTGCCTGTGTTTCTACACACATGTATGTAATTTTAGCCATTTTCTTTAATATGTATGGGATCCTAATATTCCTATTTTACATAACTTGCATTTCCTACTCAATATAATGTCTTAATATTTCATAGTATATGGATGTATGTAGCTTATTTAATTGGAATTTAGAAGCTTTCTGATTTTTCCCTCATTTAAATAACACTATAGTCAGCATGAGTGTGCAGTATCTGTTTGTATATATGTAGTGATATTTTAATGGGGTAGATTTCCTAGAGGGGTAGTTGCTAACTCAGGACATAGTAAATTTATATTTACTTAGGTATTTTGGCTCACTCTAGGTTGAGAGATGTTTGCTTAATAAATCTTGTTACTGGGAGTTTTTCTTTATTTTGATCTCAAACATAAACAATTACATTTTGGGGTTCGTAAATCTAATTTGAGGTGGATATTAATATCTTATAATAGAGACACTTAAAATTTTGGTAGGTGTCTCAATTGTCTACCCAAATAGCTGTGCTCATCTCTTGAATCCTGAGAATAGTACATTTGGGACAGATCAAAGGAGCAAACACAAGTAGATTTTGGTTCAAAGGGTTTTTTTCCTTAAAAAAATTTGTGGTAAAAAATGTATAACAGAAAATTTAAGTTCAGTGGCATTAAGTATGTTTACATCGTTACGGAACCTAACAGGTATTGTTTGAGTGGAAAATATATAGCTTCAGAAAGGGAATCAATGAATCTTTGACTCTGGATTTTTTAAGAGAGGGAAATTAGGATGTTTTGGAGTCTAGTGACAGGAGAGACAAAAATCCCTCTCCACAGTCCATCCATTAGTGCCTCTGTCAGTGATAGAATATTTAGGTGGGCAGAATTATAAGAATAATCAGGCATGGTAGCCAGAGGAGGCTTGTGGTTCAAGTCAAGACACTGGGTCTTGGTTCAGAATGAGATCAAAAGAAACTACACTGGGGAAGAGGTTGCTTGTTTTAAACTGTAGAAAACCGGACATGATGGAAAATGACAAGACTACCCAAGTCTGTGTGCACATGTGTCTGTCTGTGGTAAGATTGCCTCTGTATCCCATGATGTTTTAAAAAGAATTTGTGTTGGCTAGTAAAGGTACATACAGTATTTATCTTTTAATGTAATATGAAAAGAAATAGGTAAAAGAAAAATTGGAAGAAAAATGAGGATATAATTACTATGGTATGATTAGAACACAGAATTTGTGCCAAAGAAAGTCTCAACTATTTGTCTCTGAGCTTCTTAGTAGTCAGGGGGGGAAATACACAATTACTTCTGTTCAATTAGTCCATGTGATCAAAATAAACCAAGACTTAAGAGAAGAAGTACAATTTTTCTCAGACTAGAGACCTCAGAACATTTACTGTCCGTTATCATAGAGAAATCACTAATAGAGAAAGTCTTGCCTTCAACCACATCTCTAAAGTGAAACTGTAATGAGCATAATGGGACTGGTATAGTGTCCCTCATTCTGAACTGATGGTGTCATGTCAGAGTACAGTTCAGGAAAGGTACGTAGCCCTATGAGGGGCCAGATTAAAGGCACTCAGCTGCGTTGTCCTATGTCCTATCTTAAAACGAACAAAATGAAAGTGGTTATAGCATTGTTGCCCAACTCTTCAGTCAGATTGTATTCAGACTTTGTGATTTTGCTACTCTTGGGTACTACATACAGTATTATTTACTTAGTATTTTAATTTATATTTACTTAGGTATTTTGGCTCACTCTAGGTTGAGAGATGTTTGCTTAATAAAACTTGTTTCTGGGAGTTTTTCTCTCTTTTGGTCTCAAAAGTAAACAACATCAATTAAAATTTGGGGTTTGTAAATCTAATTCGAGGTAGATATTAATGTCTTGTAATCTATACATGTGAGCTACTTTAAACTCAAATGGAGGGAAGATGATGAGATAATATAAATATGTTTTATTTCTACTTACGGTTTCCTAGTCAGTACAGTGAGCAGGAGTTTCCTGCCTTTTGGGAGAATATATGTTCGTTCACCTAGTAGAATTTTCTTAAATACCTTAGTATCTGTCTTATAAGCTATAACGGAGAAGAGCCTAGATGGTTAAATTAATGGATTATTTGGCAGCCTCGGAGTAGACATCCCTAATTGTCTGACCTTTGGCACGTTACTTCCTTGCCTGTGTGCCTTTGTTTACTTGCCTGAGTTACTTCTCTGCTTCTGTTCACATACCTGCCGCTTATGTCCCTGAAATGTATGTTCTGTTTACTCTTGTTTCAGAGCTCAAGCATTGACTTTCTGGCAAGCCAAGGATTTGATTTTAATAAAGTTTTCCGTAATGGTAAGATATATGTGACTTTAGAGCTTTGTAAATCTGGGTTTGGTTAATAACTACCTTTTGTGCCTGTTGTGTGAGGCAGAACTCAGAGTTCCAGTACACCATGTACAGCCTTAGAGTTTTTAAAAACTTTTTTGCTGTGCCTTTTTAGAATTTTAGCTTGCTCATCTCACCCCTGAACTGAATGGGCAGAGTAGATGCTGTTTCACTTAGTTCTAATGAGGCCCTCTCAAAACGCCTGCTTTTGTTGAGTGGAGTGTCTTCTACCACTGGTGTGATTTAGTTGCTTAACAGACCACTCGTGGGGAACACTTCCTGTTTCCTTTCAGTGAGACAAGTGAAATAATCCATTAAAAAGGAGTCGTATTCTAGTAATGCTGTAATAAACAATTCCCTCTTCCAGTTGGTACTTGTTTTAGCATTGGAGGTGGGTTCTCAGTTTCTCATGGGAGAGAAAAGTCTGCATAGATTGCTCATCATGATGGCTAACTGGCTGAGGTGACAGATTCCTGAGCATCTGAGGAAAGGGTCATTGTTTCATTCATTTTGTGTCCCTGGTGCAGAGCGTGATTCCTCTGGATCAGAGAGCTGACCATTAAATATTTGATGGGTGAATACGGACATCAGAGCACACCGGAGTGATTTTCTTTCCTTTGATTCCTGAAAAGTGTTTCGGAAAGCCTCTGGTTTTCTCAGTGGTATTAAACACCTGCTGCTATAAAGTCAATTACTTTTAACTTAATTATTCTTATAATCTTACTCTTTTCTACAGTGAAGGTAGCATTATTGAGTGAGTAAGGAAGGAGATGTTTCTCAACAGAAGTACTAGAGCATAGACTTCCAACTATATTCTGCCCTTCGGCATCATCTCCTTGCAAGCCATACTATTTTATAATTGCTTCATTGGGGCCAAATCTTAATTTCTATTGATGATTTTGAGTTTTGGCAATACCACAAAAAAAAGTTTGTGAGTCAGAACTGCTTAACATAGTGGGTGAACCAGCTGGAAAACACAATTTGGGTGTTACAAAATAATTTTTTCCTTTGGCTCCTACTTGACTCTGAAAATCATTGTAAAATACAAGTTCCAGATGTATTAGAGCACCATAAGGGAGTAAGTGCAAAAATCTTCTGAAGGATTCGTAGGGATGTATAGTTTCCAGCCTGATGGTTTTATTTTCATTAAAGGAGAAACAGCCAAATTGGAGTATGCCCCATTCTCATTGTTTTATTGTCAGACCTTGGAATATTTGAGTCACAACTGAATCAGGACTCCCAGACCATCTATTATTACCAAGACTCTTCTCCCCACACCGCCCTTGGTACTCTCTAAGTCTGATCTAGACCGACACTTCTCCTTATCAAATGCTCTCAGGCTCTGTAAATGCCAGACCCTTTTCTCCTGGGCAGTCTTTCTGGAAGTACCTTTGGCTTCCTTGTCAGGAGTGGAGCCAGGTGGCTCTTGTTCCTGTTCCCCTGCGGCCCCCTCAAACACAGGCTTTACCTCTCCCTCTTTACATCTCCAACGAGGCAGCGGTAGGTATCCTTGTGTGCCTAGGCCCCTTGCAGGCCCCTTGAATTCTCTCTCCTTAGGCTCCTCGAGTCTCAGGGCTGTGTCACCCAGCTCTTGCTGACTCTGTGGGCCTGGTGTTCACCGACAGCCTTGACTTTGGCTCATTGTCTTTCTGTCCACTCCTACCTCTCTCCTCCTGGGCGACTTCAGCACCACAAGGATGACCAGCAAGTGCTCTGTCTCATCTGTTTCTTGACCAGGTGGTCAGCAGTTTGCTTCGACCGCCTGTTAGCCATCTACCCACTGGAGGTCAGCCACACCCCGCTCCAGCATTTCTGCTTGAGAGCACTACCTCTTGTCCCATTACTGGTGATGTTCGCTTTTTTTAAATCGTGGGAAAATACACATAAAATTTACCATCTTAAGCATGTTTTAAGTATACGGTTCAGTGACATTAAATACAGTACTACTGTTTGCAACTGTTGGTGGTGGTAGTGTTGGTCACTTTTTCACCAGTTTTTAGCCTGCATTGATGGTTCTTGCTTGACACAATTTTTATTGCTGACACATGTTAATTTTCTAATTCCATCATTTTTTCCACAGTTTGTTGGTGGCCCATAGTTTTTAATGCTACCCATATCCTGATGTTACCTACATTTGTATCTCAGCACTTTTCTCCTGAGCTTTAGGCTTATATTTGCACCTCTTAATTTATATACCTTAGGTGATTTAATATATCCAGGAGGGAGCTTCTGATTTTCATCTTTTGGGCCTCAGACCTGTTCTTGGTCTAGTTTTCCCCACCTCAATATATGGCCCCATCACCCTCCCAGTTGCTCAAACCTAATAGCTAGGTGTCATTTTTTATTTTTCCCTTCTCCCTTTTCCTCACCTCTAGTATATCAGCAGTTTTCTCTCTCTTATCTCTAAAATCATTCTCTCCATCTCTACAGTCTAAGCCAGGGCCATGCACTAAGGCCCACTACAAATAAAATTTTGTTGGGACACAGTTACGCCCATTCATTTCCTCATTATCTATGGCTGTTTTTGCATTACAAGAGCAGAGTCAAGTATTTGCAGCAGAGATCCCTATATGGCCCACAAACTTATGTAAACATAAGTAAAATACTTACTTTATGTCCCTTTTAGAAGAAGTTTCCTGACCTCTGATCTAAGGGGTTGTCTTTTGCTTGCACAATTGCAGTGCACAGTTGCTTCTAACTGACTTCCCTACTTCACCCCTCACAGGAGTCAAAATGATCTGTAAGTTTTAAAAACATGAAGCAGATAATATAATGATCTTGCTTAAAACCTTCTAATGGCCATTTGGTTGTTCTTAGAATAAAATACATTCTTACCGTGGCCTTTAAGCACCTGCATAATCTTGTCCTGTCTTCTCTCCAACCTGATGTTAGGCCATTTTCCTGCTCACCATGTTCTGGTCACGCTGACTTCCTTGCTGTTTTGGGAGCAGGTCAAGTTATTTCCACCCTCCAGGCATTTATACATATTCCCCTGCCTGAAATAACTTACCCTAGCTCTTTGCTTATCTAATTCATTCTTATCCTTCAGGCCTTCCTGCTCATTGGCCTCTGAGCCTCCTGTCTAAAATTATTCTCTTCGCTACGGAGCAGGATGCATCTGCTTTGTTGAGTTAGATTCCTCAGTGCCTAATATGGTGCCTGGCACAGCATAAATGCCAAGTAAAAATTTGTTGAAAGAAGAATGTGAATGAATGAATGGAGTGAAGGAGTAGGCAAATATATTTCAAAATCATTTGCTTTTCTGTTTATCTGTTAAGGTATATAGATAAATATGGTCTTCCCTGAGTATTGCAGATCTGGTTTATTAACACATTTTTATGTTACATAATTACTTCTCCTAATGAATTCTTCTAAAAATCATGTTTAGGAATTCCATATTTAAATCAGGAAGAAGAAAGACAGTTAAGAGAGCAGCATGATGAAAAACGTTTACAGTCCAATGGTGCAGGAACTCTCTCATATGTATCTCCTAACACTTCCAAATGTCCTGTGATGATTCCGGAGGACCAGAAGAAGTTTATTGACCAAGTGGTGTAAGTTCCTAAACTGAACCCAAATATGCATCGTGTACTGGGGCAGGACTCACCTCTGTATCTCAGATATGTGCTGCACGTATCTGGTATACACAGAGGTGTATGTTGTGAGTGGCAGGATTTAATTGGGGCAATCTGAATTTGTGTACAGGAGCAAATTGCAAGAGTGCTATGTATTGTACTCAGACTTCCCACATGTCCCTAGGCAAGAGATGGTCTCAGCGAGCGGGCAGACCGCCTGTATGGCCTGAGGGCCCAACAGTCACTGTCCAGTTCCTTTGATGGCAGAGGAATGAAATGGGGCCATCCAGATATTTGCAACATAACCGCATTTTTTTTCTCTCGGAGTGAAGTTTCTGACAAGCAAACGTGTCACTGGAGGAGCGTCTAGTTCTACTTAGTTTGGCTATCAGTGTGACTGCTTCACTAGAAAAGTATAAAACGTTTAAGTCACTTGTATAGATGAAATCTTGAGAGGTTGTCACTAGCTCACTAATAACAACAAAAGTATGCCAAAGTAAAGTACTAGTACTTTTCTTGAAGGCTTACTGAGCTAAAAAGTTACAACATGATTTGTTCGTAGATTCAGATTGCTTTTGAGTATGATTGTTCTGTTGATTGATGACTTCTTCCCTTAAAGGTATTGATGGTCATGTATTTATTTTAATTCCTCAGAGAGAAAATAGAGGATTTATTACAAAGTGAAGAAAACAAGAGCTTGGATCTAGAGCCATGTACTGGGTTAGTTGTCCTGAGTATTTTCACATGCTCTTTTTTGGAAAGGTAGATGACTTCTGGCATATGCACCACTTGGTTTTTTAAAACCACATTCAAGAACGGTCTTTTTTATTACAGGCATGTTCCCAGGATTCCCACACTAACTTAGCATTAGCACAGTGGGGATGACGGTTATTGAGACACTGAGCAAGTGCTTTGTCCTCTCCTAGAGGGCTTTGATTTTCAGTTATGCTCACGTGTGGCATAACTGTTCTAGCCTTGAGGAGTGCTTAATACAGGAGGGCTTCAGAAGGGAATTCATTGTCAGGCTCTTCCATCCTTTTAGTTTCTTTGCAGAAAATAAAATACATCCATGTTTCAAAGAGTCTAACTTCGACATCCTATTTTCCTTTTACTTGGTGACTAGCTTCACAAAAGCATTCTAATGCGTCTGTTTACTTTAAACTCTCTTATATTGATAGCCACAGGGAATCATACTGTGGTAGACAAGAAGTACCTTTTCTTTAAAGAACATTTTGATGAAGATAAATGGTGAGAAATCTTCCCATGTCAGACATCTGCCTGTCTTTGTTTGCATATTACCCATTGTGTCTAATGAAGTCTCTTTTAGAAATTAAACATCTTTTCCAATCAGTGCTGCATCAGTTAGGATTTTCTTTTAATGAGCCAAAATCAACACCTCTTTTGTTTTTATAGGTTCCAAAGAAAACTAATTTATCAGACACTGAGTTGGAAGTAAGTGTTTATCTTATGTGTGAGAGCTCTGGGAGGGGCCCATAATTTAAAGACTAAATATAATTTCTTAGCTTTCATTTCAGTTTTGAGATTCTGCAGTTATGAGTGATCTGACCATAGCACGTTCTTGGACAATGCTTTGTTTTGTTGTTACTTTCCCTTCTTAAGTTTCTTGACTACCCACTTAATTTTCCTTGTTATTGCTTCTTAGTAGATGCTTTAAAGTGTTTAAGTTTTTTAAAAATTCTCACTTTGGCCTTATCCGTTAAGTTTTGGATGTGTATGTAGTTTTTGTTCTTTGGAGGTATCTGATAAAGATTTGGTTTTAAGATGTGGGAAAAGTTCAGATGAGGGTTTAGACTGTGGACGTATTTCAGTAGGTCTTTGAGTCCCCTGAAATAATATCCAAAATCTTATGCATGTATTTTTTGGAGGTGTTTCCATTGGTTTCATCATATTTTCAAGGGATTTTTTGGGATCTCTAACCCCAAAACTGAACATCATTGTTGGACAGATGGATGTTTGCATTTGACGTTGTTCAGGGTCCTTTTTCTTCCATTAGAATCTGCCCATGACATGTATACTAGGAGTTTACTTTGAATGAAATAGGAAAAAGGCAGTTACCCTTTGATGGCTGCTTTACTGTTGTGTTATCTTTGCAACATACTTGAGTTCCAAATTCCTCTCCTTGACTGATACAAACTACCATGCCAAACTATAGCAGAGTTACCCACTTCAAACCTCCATTGTATATGCCCCTTATGACTTTCAAAATTTCACTTAGGTAGTAAGCATTATTTTGAAACAAGATTTTACTGTGTTGTAGTGAGTTGACTGTGTTATGTGATGTGTGACTTTTTAGAAAATACCTAAATCCTAAAAAGGTTTGAAGTCAGATACATTTCTGTGTTTAAGAGCAGATATAGGGAAATATTCAACAGCTGGAATATTATGCAGTAGGCTTACTATGAAATCTTAGTGTTATTATTTTATATTTAATAAAACAGTAATATTTCAAAAAAATATAAATAAATATTTATATTTAATAAAACTTATGTAATTATAGCTATATAGATGCTTTTAAAACACTTCGGGTTTTAGCTGTCATTGCCTCACATACTGATGCCATGTTTTCTTTATTTCTTCAGATATCCCAAGGGCATTCATGTTGAGACTTTAGAAACTGAAAAGGTAACTCCAAATTATCCAGGGCCAGTTGATACAGTAACATGTTGCAACTCAAAAATGACTCCTTGGCTCTGGCACTTATGTGCTGGGTGACAAGCCATTTTTCTTCTCTAAGACTCATTTTCCTCATTTGTACATTGGGGGTGAATGTGATCAGGCTGATCTCTACCTATCTCGCAGCTTTTTTAGGGTGAGCAAGTGGGTAAATGGAAGTGAACATGCTTTGTAAACTTGAAAGCATGCAAATGTTAGTACATATTCTTATTATGGCAGAAAGCTGTAACGGTATGCATGACGAAGTGGCTTCCTGTTATGTGAGCAAGTAAATTAAATTTTAGAACCTGGGACATGAGCGTAAGCGAAGTTGCTGTCATATATTCCCAAGGTGCACTGATAGAACTGTGACAGGTAATTGTGGGCTGATGGGGGTTCCTTTGCAAAATTTTAGAATTTTAGAATTTAGTTGTTGCTCTTAAGTCAGATGTCAAATAATAAGATTAATTAAATTTTTAAAATCTTGTTAGAAGATAAATTTCAAACTTGGACATAGGTTTTTGTTGTGTTTAATTGATACAAAATGCAATGTGTGAGGAAAAAGGTGCTAGTTTTCTGACTTTACCAGAAAATCCAGGATTTTTTTTTCTTATGTTAATGAAATATAATAGAAATTTTATTTTAAAACCAGCTCTTCATAAATTCATGTTCAAATGTAACGTAACTTCTTAGTGTTCATCATGAAAAGTGTCTTATTCTCACAGTCTGTTGACACATTTAACTGCTGTCTGTGGGGGTGAATTAATAAAGCATGGGAAAATGTCATGGAAACACAGGCAGAATTTTGGTTTGTAATGCATCAACCCAACTTTTGGTGGCCTTTCAAAAATACTTGTAGTGTGTCTCGCCCATGAGCAACTGTTGCATTGATAAAAATTGTATCTTCCTAATGGTATCAGAATCTGAATTTTGGGGGGTCAGGTTCCTCCCAGAAAATTGTACATATCTGCTTTATCTCTTTTAGAAAGAGCGATATATCGTTATCAGCAAAGTAGACGAAGAAGAACGCAAAAGAAGAGAGCAGCAGAAACAAGCTAAAGAACAGGTAGCTGACTGATGTTTGTTTCATTTGGGTGAGAAATGGCGACATAGACACTGATTTATTCCTTTCTTTGTATTTGTTGATCATATGCTGGATTCAGTTCAATGAATAGTTTTCTACCATAGAAGAAATGGATTGGTAAGAAAACTAGAATAGAACAAGGGCTACTCTAAAATATTTAACCATAATAGCAGAGTGAGTCTCACATCCTGGTTGACCAGTCTCCACTTAAATGAAGCAGTCTTGAAGAACATATTCCTGATTATCATTCAGATGGTGTGTTCCTGAGCTTCACTGCCTATGTCTGACCTCAGGCAAGTCACCAGTTTCCCTAAAATAAAGTTTAGAACATGATTGGATGCATTAGGATGACATGGTCCTATTTTCATTGTGGGAATATCGCTTGGGTTGCTATCTGGAGAATGGATTCCAATGAGTAAGACTGGAGGCAGAGACCAGTTAGGCTCTGGAGTAAGCTAGCTGAGAGATGTCAGTAACCTAGACTAGGATAGTTTATTAACAGTTTAGGTGGAATCTAGAGATACTTGGAAGGTAGAATCAGTGGACTATGTGGTTGGATGTGGGCAGTGAAAGAATTTGCTCAAGCCAGAAACTCAAGCAAGTGGGTGGGCCGACCTCCGTTAGATGCGATGGCTGGGGTGGTGATGCCGGGGGGACCCAGGTGGAGGAGGCTAGGAAGGTTCGGGTGTGGGTGGATGTCAGGTTCACACATAGAGAAGACAGGGCTACATCTGACTGACTCAGCCAGTAAAGACACAGTAAGCCACTGAGATTGAGACCGCATGTTACTTACATGGAGGAGAAAGAGCAGCCAGGGGTGCCAGCTGCCTGTGGTTCTTGTCCCATACACCAAAAAGACAACACTGAAACAGAAAGGGCCAGATAAAGGGCCAGATGACTACAGGGTGGATTGTGAATTCTTTATCCATCACTGAGGAATCAATTCTAGACTGCAACAAGTGCTTCTGTATTCTGTAGCTCTAATCTGAACAGGTGGGGTGGGTGGGACCGAAAGCCCCCTGCCTCATCAGAA